CAGTAGTAGAAACAAATCCTAAGTTTGAAAATTGCTAACCTGCTATTCACATATATATGACAACAATTCTGATCTTGATGCAGTCAATCTACTGGCTTGCAAAAATAAATTATTGGAATATGAAGCATGTATTTTGAAGTACAAGCTAAGAACTGTTATTTAAACAAAAAACAAAGAGACAAACATACATAGCTTCATTCATCATAACCTATAAAATCAGTATTAAATTGTATTACAGGTATTTAATATCACAACCTTGAATTAATTTAATCTAAATATAGTCATAGTAGTTTGCACTTAGAACTGTGGCTCTTTTTTGATTGAAAGAAAAATTATTTAAATTGTAACTAGATAACTGTTGAGCAGGATAAGATTAGATCAATAAATTTTCTGCTGCATGTTGAACAGCTTTAACAAGTTATGTGCTAAATTTATCCCAAATTGAGTTTTGGCAACATGCAATTTAATACAATAAATCACTCCCTGAAAGAGGAGTTATAGAAGAGGATTTTTTAAAAAGTGTTCAATTACATGGGATTCAACTTTTTCTTATTTACACATTAAGCAGAGAAAATTAAGTTAAAAACAATGAGAATATTTCTCATCATGGTCAAATCTGGTGCAAATAATTGAATATGGAATCACTGAATCTCTTCAAGCCTGGGAGTCCCCAGAGTTTAGAAATATCTTGCGATAGCTATGGCTAACTTTATCCTCTCTGTTTGTGTGCTTTTTAAGTAGGTTTTTTTAAAAAGTCTTTAATGAGTGTTTTTTTATATATTTATTGATTTTTCTTTTAATTAATTGTTGTATGCCAGACAGAGTTACATTCTTGTGAGATGGGTGGTCACATAAACATGATGAATAAATAAGTTTTATAAGCTACTCAGAGCCTACTGGAATTGAGCAGCATAGAAATTTCAGTAAACAAATAAATCATTGCAGTCTTCCAGCAGAGAGTGAGACAGACTATCCATCACATCTGTTTCTTATTCTAACCCCCAAAGCGATAATGGAATAGACTTCCCTCCTTAGAATCTTCTTTAGCTTAAAAGTTCATTAACATTGGTTTTCCTTAATTGATTTCTGAATTGCAACATCACCAGGATTGGTTCAATATGTATTTCTTTAGGACAGTAGGAACAAGTTAATTTCATGGTTGTCCCAAAGGTGCTTTTTCAAGAGGCAACTGGAGTTTCTTGTTTTTCTTTCAAGGCATTTCACTTCTCATCCAAGACTGAGAATTTCCATAGAATTTCCATTTTAATGGTCTTAAATCACAGAAATAAAATTCAAAAATGCTGAAATCTTTAAAATGATCCTTTAGAATTCATGTGTAGCAAGGAGATAGCAACAATAGAATATCTAGAATCAACAACTAACAGGAAAGAGAATTAGAAGGCGAATACAAGGACTCTCTTAATAACATTTGGTGCATTCATGATATTAAATATATTTGGAGACTGACTTTATGCAAACTTTTTGCATATGGCTCCTGATAATATTGATGAGGCAACTTTAGATCAGTGGTTTTCAAATTTTTGACCATGAGGAACAATTTTTAATTTGCCCAAATTTGTAGAATTCCAAACTGCTTGATCTAATTTTTTGATCATGAAATTAGCATAGTTAATAAAAGCTACTACTGAATGAAACACTTAAATAAATTCGTATCTTAAAATACAGCAAAATTTAGATCAATATGAGAAATAGCATTGCTTCTACATATAAATATCATACAGGAAACACATGCTTATTTATTATGTTGGCATTTAATGAAATAGATGATGTTGCTGTTTATCTTTCAGAGAATGGAAATGTGCTTGAAGGGTTGAATCCATATTCAGCTTGTTTTGGTATTTAGGTTTTCATTGTAGGAGATGACCAGGCAGAGCCTGAGGGACGGGTCAAACATATCATCAATCATGAGTCCTTGCATGTCCAGAAGAAAATTAAGTCCAGCCCATCTTGAATTCCTTTCTTAGCTCCCGCTAATGTCCCTTGACTGTTAGTAGTTCAGATTCTTGTAGGGAGCTTAAGTTTCTAATAAATCTTTATGCTCATTTGAACTGCATGAATCGCCTGATTTCTCTGGCCCTTGACATTGATACAAGTGCAGAAAATCCATTTCTGGATACTCAGAATGAACTTGGGGTTAGTAAACAACTAGGTGCTTTTTCATTTAGTTTTGGATGATACCAAACTGCAGATTTTGCCTATGTCTAATTCCCAAACTTGTATTTCATTTATAAGAGGCTTGTATGCAATGCAAAATTCACTAAGTTCTCATTTCTCAATTTTCCTTCTAAACTGTAGTATTTCTATTTCCAAAGTATAAGCCAGAAGTCAATCTAAATTGTTTGAGATTTCCATGTTTAATTATAATTCACTGAAAGAAACTGTATGTATGCACAAAGGTTTACTTACAACTTATTTTAATTTGCATCAATCAGGAAATGTCACCAGATGTAGATAACTTTTAGGAGTGATAAGCTTTCCTATTGCACAGTCCAAAGAACTTTTTTAAAAACTTAAACCAAGTTCCTGCATTCTCGAATATGTAACTTTTTAAAGGAATGTTTTATCAAACAATCATATAAATGGAGAAACATATATTTTGCCCAGTAGCATTTATTTTAGATCATACTTATAGAATATTTTTAAATGCCACAGATTAAGTAAAAGCTGGTTAAAGATGCAGAAGTCCTTCAAGGATATAGACAAAATTTTCTTCTTTTTTTGAGCTCTAACTTTTTAACATCTCCAAAAATTTGCAGTAAATCCAGAAGAATTATAATTTTACTCAAGTTGCATCAAATCTGGGCAGATATGCTGGTATCATTTTCATAAACAGTGAAAACACTTTCATGGCAGTTTTCCCACAATACTAAAAAATGTTCTTTATATCTATATTCTATGGAAAAGTAAAAAAATGGGAACACTTTTTCTATGGAAAGTAAAGACAACTGGCTTAATTTGATCTTACTGACAAATCAGTATTCAGAGTTTTATTTATTGTAACCGTGGATGGTTTAATTGGTTATTTAAAGTAGTCCCCTTTAGTATTATTGTTAATAGAAAGAGGCTAAAAACTAATAAAAACTAATACAAGATTACAATGTATGGCAGATTATTTTTTAAAAAAATATTGTAATTCTTTGATTGCATTTGCCATTACTTGTTAATGGTGTTACTATATTTATCATTCTGGTGTTATGTGCATGCAATCAGGAGTAATTCCAGAAAAACATGTAGTTAAGTCTGATTCACAAATATGAAACTCTACGATGGCTCCACTATAATGGTTAACATCCACTCTCTCTTGTGCTTTGTGGTTTTTTTATATATTTTATATTTGTAATGATGATAGTTTTATATATTTATTGTTTTAATTAATTGTTATACTCTACCCAGAATAACCTTTTGTGAGATGGCAGCCATATAATGCTTTTATTCAGCCACAGTAACTATGCTGTCTTATGGATTACAAAGTGATTGTGAAAAGCAGAGTAGCTGTAAATGAATATAGGATTAAATAGATAAAATATACCAATAAGCAACATAAGCACATTCAACATGAAAGCTAGTACATGCATTGCCAATCATGAATGAAAAGCTAAACAGGGATAGGATATATGGACAGTAATGGAATATATGAAATAGTATAAATAGTATCATGCAATATTAGGAATTTACAAAAGAGCTAAAGAATTGAATTGTTCTATGGTCCCACGGAATTATTATTATAGTCATTAACAGCTTTTCTAAAAGTGTAATTCATCCATTTAGTAGAAGGCCATTCTTTGAATACCCAATTTCTTTTAGTCAAGTTATCTGCATGCAGTTCAAGTAATTTATAAACAGAAACTGTTATGTTTTCTTTGCATAACGAGGAATATTGATAAAAGGCTACACTTTTAAATGTTCTACTGGATTTCAAAGCATGATAATTAATTCTCGCCAAATAGTTATTCATGAAAGAAGATATCTGAAATTCAGTATAAAAGTAGTAGTTATCAAGTGCAAACAGTGTTTATTTCTTAATCTAAATAATGTGTTTGTCAGCACTTGTCCAAATTACGAAGTGTACGTAATGCGAGTTCCTTTGAAAATAAATCTGACCTTTACAAGCTATTATTTTGTTTCATTTAAATTTATTGCCAATAAGCAAATCAAACTACTTCTCCTAATTACATATCTTGATTAATGTAATCAGATTTATTGTACAATTACAACTAATTGCAAAGTAATTTAATTTTAAAAAATCAAGTGCTAACTTAATTAAGTTTGGTTGCTGTATTTTATTTGTCTTTAATTGAAGAAACTCATAAAAGTACCAAGGGAAATTAAGTATATTTAAAACATAATATATATTTAGCAGTATTCTGAGCAATCTTTGTGAGAATTCAATATATTTCAGAAAAAACTATCTATGAAAGACCTGAAATATGATCCTAGCTTGGGAAAGTAATGAAAATGTCACTTTTTTCAAACTGTACCCTGATTTAGTCACGGAAACATAGATTGAAACACATTTAAGAGCTGTGGTGTCACAGTGTTAGAATGCAATACTGCAGCCTACTTCTGCGGACTATCAGCCACCAACAGTTTGGCAGTTCAGGTCTCACCAGCTCAAGGTTGACTCAGTCTTCCATCCTTCCAAGGTTGGTAAAGTGAGGACCCAGATTGTGGGGGCAATATGCCAACTCTTTAAACCAGGGGTCTCCAACCTTGTCAACTTTAAGCCTGACGGACTTCAACTCCTAGAATTCCCCAGCCAGCTTTGCTGGCTGGGGAATTCTGGGAGTTGAAATCCTTCAGACTTACAGTTCTTAAGGTTGGAGCCCCCTGCTTTAAACCACATAGAGAAGGCTGTAAAGCACTGTGAAGTGGTATATAAATATAAATGCTCTTGCTATCTACAAACTTGAAAATATGGTAAATAGATAAAATATGAAATATGGTAAATGGATAATAAACAGTGAAGATTAAGAACATACCTCCTCATACAGTCCAGTGCTCGAATAAAGAAATCTTTGTGCAACTGATGCTCATCTCTTAAAATTGAACATTGTTCCAGTGTCACTGACATTGATGTCCTATCTTTGGCACTTTTACAGCAGGTGAACCGTACACCATTTAACTTGCGGCAAATCTATAATGCAAAAAGAAGATATAATTTATTTTCTTTCATTTTATACTTCTATGCACTTTTACAGTCTATTGCTAGTGCTGTACTTTGGCTATAATAAAGTTTTTGTTGGATTGCTTATAATGCACAAAGAAAACCAAGTAGCAATAGCACTAGCATTTAGACTTATATACCGCTTTATAGTGCTTTACAGCCCTCTCAAAGCGGTTTACAGAGTCAGCATATTGCCCCCAACAATTTGGTTCCTCATTTTACCCACCTCGGAAGGATGGAAGGATGAGTCAACCTGGAGCCGTGTGGGATTTGAATTGCCAAATTGTAGGCAGCTGGCTGCAGAAGTAGCTTGTAGTACTGCGCTCTAACCACTGCGCCACAGAGGTTCCTACGTGCATTTTAATTACAGGCATATTGCATTATCTAGCACAGGGGTCCCTAATTCTGTCTGTGCCCTGGTGCTGGGCTGCAGCCTGTTTGGAACCAGGGCGCGGAACTGGTGGGTGAATGAATGTGCATGTGAAACAGCATTTGTGAAAGTGGTGCGTGCACATGTGCAAAACCATCCCCTTTCCCACCCACCACTGCTGCCTCAAACAAGCCAGAAAAGTTGGGGAATGCTGATCTAGCATATAGAGCAACCAATACGCCCATCTCAAAAAATATTTTCAGCTTTGTTCTTTTGATAACACAGATATAGTCTATTCATTAAATAATACTTTTACAATAATTGTCCATAGTCAATGTCATGCCCCTGGTGGAGACTGACTCTGAGCACTCAGAGGAGGACCCAAGCCCATCCCCTATCCATCCTAGGGCACGCAGGGAAGAGGATCAGGGTAAAACATGGTCTACTCGGGAGGAGAGGATCAGGGTAAAATGTGGTCTACTCCGGAGGAGAAGGCCATGATCCTCTTCATGGATTGCAAGTGTGAAGTCTGCATAAGAGTTTGGACCTGCCTGCTAACAGACACTGGAGACAAATTAGTGTTTTATTCCTAAAAATGTTTACCTTGGTTGGCGTTCTTCCAACGGACTGTACCTGGTTATCTTCCTGAAGCTGGCAATTATCTATCCTGGTCGGTCGTGAAACTTTATTCAGTGCGGTTTGTTTTTGTTTTTTGCTTTGTTATTGGCTCTTTGAATTTGAACTGTGTTTCTTTCTTTCGAAATGTTATTTTGAAAATAGTTTACTCCTCCACTGTGAACAATTAAACAGTGAAGCCAAGTTGAAGGCATTAAAGGACTTTTAGTTACGTTTTGGGTTTTGTTATATTTCTGAGATACTCCGGGTCATCATAGTCAAGCAAGTGTACAGAAATTTGATAAGTATATAAATAAAATAAATAGAAATCAAGTTGCATTAATATATAGAATGTATATCAATCATTAGGCTGAATGCATCAAAATGTGCAAGACAGATACCATAGGTAAAAAGAAATATTTTGACTTTGAGTTGACCATTTTTGATAGTATTATAGTTCTTAATGATAAGTATAAATAGCTTTATCATAAGCTCAATTTTCTGTTTGGGTTTACAGCAATTTAAAGAAATATCAAACCTAGATAATCTGAGTCAGACTATGCAGACTATTTCATTTTGCTTTCAAAATAGCAAAACAGCTGCAAGAGCAATCTAGGAAGAAATTCCAGGAATTTCTCAAACCTGATAATCCAAATAGCAATGACATTGCTAATGCAGAACCGGAACGAGATGTATCTCAATTACCCACTATCTGGTCTATTACAGGCTATTTCTCTCATATAAGTATATGTGCTCTTTCACTGTCTAAAAGTTCTTTATCTTTGGATACATGCTTTGAAGCTAAAAGTCACAGATAATTCCTATTTGAAACACTTAACAGTTATTTGTAATTAATTTTCATCTGTCCACAATATTTTCCAGTAAGAATGTTTTTCACTTGCCAGAATTATCTCATATTAATTAAAGAATTTTCAAATATTTATATGTACAGCACAAAAATCTGTAACACTTAATGTATAATAACAGGACATCTTCAATAGTAAAAGTCCAAAGTAAATTAACAACTCTGCTGTTGTTTAAAACTGCCATGTGGATGAGGCAGAGTGGGACCCTTTACTTCATTCCCATCTTTTTTCTTGTCATCATTATCATTATTTTTTTTTAATTGGTTTTATTGTAATTTATATCTTTTGATTGTTGTCAGCTGTTCAGAGTTGCCAGGATTCAGGCAGAATATAAGTTTAATAATAAATAATGATTACAATATTCTAGAAAGAATATAGATAGTATATTCACAAAAGTAATATTGTAATATATATTTGTATTTTGTATCATATTGTATTTGTAAATAGTATATTTAATAAAGAGGAATAGTTTTCACTGATAAAGTGGAAGAATAGTAAGATTTCTTCCTTTTCCATTTTATTGCCCAAAATATGCTCTGGAAGATCTCTCTAACCCAAAAGCAATTTTTAGGGTATGCAGGTTGTTGAAGATAATAAGTCAAGTTCCATTCACTAGATTCCACACAGTGGTATTAATATTTAGTGAAACGTGTTCCGAGAGTCTATTTTAGATAAAAAATATAAAAACTTAAATCTCAAAATTAATTTTAAAATGAAGCTTTATTTAAATAAACATTAGGGAGGAATGAACATATGAAATGTTGTTTCACATAATTATTGTCACTTTTAGGGCGTGAATTAAAATATAATCCCGTGACATACTGAGCTGAATATAAAACTATGTAATGTTTGGTGTTTTGCTCACTTTCTCTAAATCCATATGTAGAAGCAAATACCTCATAAGACATGTTTGGCTTGTTAACTCTGTTTTCAGTGTTATGCACAATTCAAATAAAAGTTGAGTCCATCACTGTGGTCAAGTTTCACAAAATATTTTCGCTGCCTCATAAGTATTTAATAAGAAGGAAAAATGGAGTAAAATAAAATGTCATCATAAACCATTTTACTGCACTTTACATCTGAGGTGACTTTAAGAAGAAGGCTCATGTAATTCCTGCATGCAAAAATGCCATAAATCTTTCAGGATTATTTTTCAAATCAATAATCCAGATAATTATGCTGTATTTAATATAATGTCAATGTTCTTTCCTTTGCAAATGAATTTTGAGGCTGTGAGAAAAATATAAGCCACAAATAATAGTAAATTAAAACAAAACATAGGCACACACAGGGCTAAAAACATTGGAGGGAAAACAGGAGCAGAACTATTCATCCAACAGTCACTCAGAGAAAGTAAAAAAAAAAGGGTAAAGTAGTTCCTGTGGATTTTACTACATTAGTTATTGCTATCTATAAGGGGCGGTGCTGATCTACATTTCAAGGCCATTGAGCCAGTGCTGCCTGAAGAAATTTTTGCGGTCAAGTGGCCAGCATGACATCACAGAACACTCTTATCTTCTGACCAAATTGGTTTCTATTTGTCTACTGCATTTGCATGCTTTCGAATTGCTAAATTGGCAGGAGTTGTGGCGAGAATGTGAGCTCACCCTATTGCATGGAGCTTGGGTCTTGAACCTGGGCTGCTGGCTTTCCAGCTATAAAGCCTAACATCTTAACCACTGAGTCAGTACTCAGAGAAGAACTGGGTAAATTGTTCTTAAGAGATATATAATAAAGGGCTCCTCACACATTTCAAAAGGTGGAACATTCCAGGGACCAAGAATACTTTGAAAAGTCATTCAATGGTGACCAAAAAGGATGCTGTGATCATTTGGCCTTCTTAATAGTCTCAGTATTGAAGACATCTATAATGGTGAAGGCATTTTATCAGGTATTTTGTTCCCCAAATTATTTCAGTCCTTCCATGTTATAAGCAAAGCCAGACATGTATTTCAGTACCTAATTGGTATTCAATCTTTAATTCAACATAAGTACATATGCCTGGGCACATGCACTGACTGTCACATTCTGAACTGCTGCCACTTCCAGATTTAAGTGTTCTGCAGTAAGCAAAGTATGATGTTGACATTACATGGATAATGGTAGGTATTTCCATCAGAAAATTCAGCTAAATTCCAAATTAGAAGATTAATTGATTGATCAAAAATCCCTGAATTTCACTGTTATATTAATACTTTATTATTAATTACTAATTTATAGCTGTCAAGAAACTTGGATCTAATATGTTAGTAAGATGGTTGTATTATAATTCAAAAGAATATATTTTAACATACATTAAATAATAAACTTATAAAAAAAACTAAATTAAATTACTTGCCCCTGGAAGAGCATTATTTAATTCAGTAAGTTAACTTGCTAAAGACATGTAGGCAGCAAAGATCACTGCATATTTTTATTTTTATATGCACATTTTCAAGAATTATAATTCCACAGGATTTCCACAATTCAGTGATTCGAAAAGGTGCATTCATTGGGAAATGATTGTTCACCTATTAGATGGCAGATTCCAAGCTAAGTGACAGCTGCTTCCGTACAAGACATTTTTCATGTCTTTTTATCTGCTTTTAATAAGTTTATACTGCCTCTCCCCATGGATTACATCTTTCTGATCTCTTTTCTGTCCTGTTGACAAACTCTTTATTCTTCAGCATCTGTTTGGTTCAGTTATAACTGCTTTGAAGTTCTAATTTTAATTCAGAAAAGCTCAGTCAAAATTCCGTAATGAATTGAACCTAATTTTTAAAAATAGAAGCACAAACTTGAAAGCTTCAGCAATTCTTTTGTAGCGCCATCTCGTACACAGTAGTAGAAACCAGAATATCACATTTCATGTATCAGAATAAGTAGAGACCAATGTGTTGTGGTCCTCGGCACAGCTCATATTCTAAAGGTATAACTGTTATTGATTTTTAACACGTAACTCTTAATAATTGAACAATATAATTATGCAAATGATACTGGTCAAGGACACTGCAGTTTCTTAGCAAGTTTCTCAACCTACACTTGAGTAAGTAATCATATATATATCTGAAAGAAATGGTACATGCAACAAGTAACAGAACATGCTACTTTGCACTCAATTGCAGATTAAAAAAATC